CTGAGGAAGCAGCACACAAGGTCAAGACAGCTAATGCGTTACTGTGGCGAAGTGTGATTGTAAGACCATATGACATGGAGCTGGGAAAGAAGGCTGCTGGGACAGTTATCATATCGCTTCATCTTAGTGAAGAGCTACAATTAAACTCTTAAGGAGGGAAGCGGTAAACATTAAGCTTAAGAGTCATTGTTGATCCAATGGAATATTATGCAGCCATCAAAAAAGACATCTTGCCATTTGCAACAACATGGATGGAGCTGGAGGGTATTATGCTGAGCGAAATAAGTCAATCAGAGAAAGACATGTATCATGACCTCACTGATACGAGGAATTCTTGATCTCAGGAAACAAACTGAGGGTTGCTGGAGTGGTGGGTGGGAGGGATGGGGTGGCTGGGTGATAGACATTGGGGAGGGTATGTGCTACGGTGAGCGCTGTGAATTGTGCAAGACTGATGAATCACAGACCTGTACCTCTGAAACAAATAATACATTATATGTTAAAAAAAAAAAAAAAAGGAAGGGAAAAATGAAGGGGAAATCGGAGAGGGAGACGAACCATGAGAGACTATGGACTCTGAGAAACAAACAGGGTTCTAGAGGGGAGGGGTGGGGGGATGGGTATTAAAGAGGGCACGTTCTGCTGGGTGTTATGCACAAACAATGAATCATGGAACACTACATCAAAAACTAATGATGTAATGTATGGTGATTAACATAACAATAAAATTAAAAAAATAGGCAAGATTATAACCTTAAAAAAAAAAAAAAAGAATCATTGTTGATCCAAGTGAATGCTGATGCTTCCTGGACCCAAGAGAAAGAGACATTAGTCTCCATGTCCAAGATCAACATCTCTCTAATAAGTGTGATCCATGGACCACTTGTACTGACATCACCTGGGGGTTTTGCTGAAAATGCAGAGTGCTGGCTCTACCCCAGTCTCACTGAGTCAGAATTTTAGAGGAAAGGGGCCCAGGTTCCCATAGTTTAATAAAGCCCCCAGATGAATCTTAGCACACTCAAAGTCTTTGAACTATAACTGTAGGTAAGATGACAATAGCTGCCTCTTACTGCACAGTTTTACCATATGCCCACGCCATGCTGAACCCTTCACACACTTGAACCTTACAGCAACCCTTGTGAGATAGACGAGGAAATCTCGCCTGAGAAAAATTAAGCTACTTGCCAAAGGTCACCCGGTTAGAAGTGGTGAAGGAGAACTTCAAACCAAATTCTGACCCCAGAGCCTATGCTCTCAGCTATTGCTGCCTCCCACCAGGCTCTTTTCTCTGATCTTGGGCCCACCAAAAGTTTTCTGTGGGAATCGACCTCTCACTTGCCTTTTACGAGGCAGGTGTGTCTTAAGAGGATGTGAATATTCCAGTCATTGGGCAGAGACAGCTCGTCGTAAATTAATAATTAGTGTCTGGTCTATGCATTAGCCTTTTTTCAGTTGTCAATCAGTCCCAAATAATACTTGAGACATATACTTGATATAAAAGTAGCTTGTGAAATTTCTGTACCTATTGTAGGTATTCCTGTATTCTAAACCTTTGTTCCTAAGAGATTGAACACCTTCCCATTAGTGACAGGAACCTGCTCTGACATTGCTAGCCAGAGGGCAGGGTTAAGGGCCTACTCCTAGGAGAAGCTAATGGGTGTTGAGGGAGTGAAGAATAAACACAAGTTTCTATAGGGACTGTGCTTGGTGTGTGCTCACTTACCTTATTCAGTACTTTTAAGCCCTACAAGATAGGTTAGTCATTGATCCACAACCCCTTATTTTCAATTCTGAACCCAAAAGGCTCTGTAAAACAAGATTATTTTTTTCTTAAGCTTGCAGCAAATTCATTTAGCAGCAAACCCTGACCTGAACTGATGGTGTGAGGCTGTTTATAATCTTTATTCATACTTTTTTTTTTAAGATTTTATTTATTTATTTGACACAGCGAGAGAGGGAACACAAGCAGCGGGAGTGAGAGAGGGAGAAGCAGGCTCTCCGCGGAGCAGGGAGCCTGATGTGGGGCTCGATCCCAGGACCCTGAGATCATGACCCGAGCCGAAGGCAGACACTTAACGTCTTAGCCATCCAGGCGCCCCTATTCATACTTTTCAATGCGGAAATATTAATGCTCAATTACAAAGTGCTGCCCATACCTCACTGAGGATGTTATAAAGTGTATGGTGTGTGTGCCATGTTGTCTTTCTAAAATTTAAAGACATTTCCAAAAACATTTTTGGCCCTGAGAGTTTCAGATGAGAAAGTTGAAGTAATAAGAGTTAAGTGTTTTCTCAACACGTTGCACCAAGTTACATAACTAGATTTTTAAAAAGGTCACATAAGCTTTTATTCAGCTCTGCCACATTGTCATTTAAAGAGCCCACTGAAAACCATTTAGCACATTCTTTGAAAGAAGTCTGTTAGCTTTGCAAATACAGTTGTACAGTTGACCCTTGACAACACAGGTTTGAACTGTGTGGGTCCACTTACACAAGGATTTTTTTCTGATAGAGAACAGTAGTGTAAATGTATTTTCTCTTCCTCATGATTTTTAAGATTTATTTATGTGAGGGAGAGTGAGCGCTAGCAGGGGGAGGGGGCAGAGGGAGAGGGAGAAGCAGACTCCCCACTGAGCAGGGAGCCCGATTTGGGGTGGGGGGCTCGATCCCAGGAGCCTGGGATCATGAGCAGAAGGCAGACGCTTAACCCACTGAGCCACCCAGGTGTCCCTTCTCATGATTTTCTTAACATTTTCTTTTCTCCAGCTTACTTTATTGTAAGAATATGGTATATAATTCACAAAAACATACAAAATATGTTAATCAACTGTTTATGTTCTCAGTAAGGCTTTCCAGTCAATAGTAGGCTATTAAAGTCTTGGAGGAGTCAAAAGTTATACATGGATTTTCGACTGTATGGGAGTTGGTGCCCCTAACCCCATGTGTTCAAGGTTCAACTGTATAGTTGTATAAAAAGCCCCAAGAAAAGTGTTTTGGTTTTTTTTTTTTTTTTTAAGATTTATTTATTTGAGAGAGAGAGTGAAAGTGGGAAGGGCAGAGGAGGAGAGAGAATCCCAAGCAGACTCTGCACTGAGCGTGGAGCCCAGTGCAGGGCCCAATCTTACGACCCTGAGGTTACAACCTGAACTGAAATCAGGAGTCAGATGCTTAACTGACTGGGCCACCCAGGTACCCAAGACATGACTTTAAAAACACTTTTCTTGGGGCACCTGGGTGGCCCAGTTGGTTAAGTGTCTGACTCTTGGTTTTGGCTCAGGTCATGATTTCAGGGTCGTGAGATTGGGCTCCACGTTCAGGTCAGAGTCTTGCTTAAGACCCTCTCTCTCTCTGCCCCTCCCCTGTGCGCACACATGCTCTCTCAAATAAATCAATCTTAAAAAATAAAAGTCATGTCTTGGGACACCTGGGTGGCTCAGTCAGTTAAGTGTCCAACTCTTTAGGTCTTGATCTTAGGGTTGTGAGTTCAAACCCCACATTGGGCTCCACACTGGGCATGGAGCCTAGATAGGTAGGTAGGTAGATGATAGAATGAATTTAAAGCAGTGTCTTTGGTCTATTACCATTTGATCATTGGTGATGCTTCGAACCTACCTTTTTTCCTCTTTCTAGTTGTGTTCCAGGGAAATACTATGAATATTTCATTTGAAATATATACTGTGTTTCTTTGTCTTCTGGTAGAGTTGAGTAGGAGAAGGAATCAATGTAATTTAACACTGAGGCATGAAGACTGATTATTCCCCTTTATCCTTGGCCATTTAGAAAGCAATTTTAGCATTACCAGAATAATCTGGCAAATTTCTCATGAATGAGGAGGATTATGGTGATAACACTCTCAAAATATTAAAAATAACAAGAGTCTTTGAATCGTAGTAAGCTAAATATCTCTTTCTGGTTAAATTAATGTTATTTTCCCAATTTTTTGGTCCAGAATGGCTTATGTGGAGAAAAAATTTGATCTTTTTCCAAGCAAAAAGTCATCTAAAATTCTCTACGTTAGGCTTTATTTCTGTAAAACATGGTATTTTTGCTTAAACGTCGATCATGTGTTCCATTGCTTTTTCTCTTGTGGGGTTGTCAGTCTCACTTTAGATTTTCTTGTTGAATATTAATTTTATGCATGTATTATGCTTTGTAAGAGTAGACCAGCCTCATGATACATAGGATGTTGGTAAGCATTCAGAAAAGTAAGCATATAAAGGATGGCCTGTACTTATTTCCTATTAGACAAGTACTTTAATTGGGATTTAAACTTTTTCTTCACATAAACCTGTGGTATTGTGATATAATGAAAATCATGTGTTTGATCTTTGTCTCCAGTTCCTGGCACAGAGCTTCTAAAACACTCGGAATTTCCTGAGTGATATGATGGGAACTGGTTGCCAGAAGGAATACAGCTATGTTATTAGAGGGTTAGAACCATCAGTCCAACCCCCACCCTGTGGGGGGAGGGGACAGGGGCTGGAGATTGAGGTCAGTCACCATGGCCAGTGATTTCATCAGTCGTGCCTATGCAGTGAAGCTTCAATAAAACCCTGAAACAAGGAACACATGAACGCGCTGGGAGGGTGGTGCGTCTGAAGAGGGCGTGGCAGTGCGGCACTACTCTTCACCCCCATACTTGGCCCTGTGCATCTCTCCCATGTGGCTCTTCCTAAGTCAGTCAGTGGAAGTAAAGTGATTTCCTGAGTTCTGTGAGTTATTGTAGTGAATTATCGAACCTGAGGGAACCTTCAAATTTGCAGCTGGTTGGTCAAAAGAAGTGCAGGTGGTCTCTGGGTCTTGGAGCTGGTGTCTGAGGTGGGACAGTGCTATAGGACCAACCCCTTCTAACCTGTGGGGTCACTACAGGTAGGTAGTGTCAGAATTGAATTGTAGGATACCCAATTGGTGTCAGAGAATCAGAGAGTTGGTGTTAGAACGCTGCAGGTATTTTGTCTGTTGAATGTATAACCTGGTCACAATCATTTTCTCTTACAGTATCTGACCAAGCAGGTGGAGCTTCTACGGCAGATGAATGAACAGCATGCAAAGGTTTATGAGCAATTAGATGTCACAGCAAGGGAACTGGAAGAAACAAATCAAAAGCTAGTTGCTGACAGCAAGGCCTCACAGCAAAAGATTCTGAGGTAAATTTTCTAGAATCCATTGAGGAAGCCCTAGGGGGAAGTCATTTAGTATAAACTAGAAGAGAATGTGGCTGTAGTGGGTTTGAGTCAATATGGGGTATGGTTTAATTTAATTCTTTATGGAGAATAAAGATTAAATAGAAGTCCTTTCCAATTAAGAAAGCCCAGTTTGAGTGGCTGGCAACTAATCTCTACTCACTGCTTATGCCCTTAATTTAATATGACAAGCAGCAAATGGCTTCTGTCTGTTCCTCATAGTCTGACCGAAACAATCGAATGCCTACAAACCAACATTGATCACCTCCAGAGCCAAGTGGAGGAGTTGAAGTCATCTGGCCAAGGAAGAAGGAGCCAGGGGAAATGTGACCAGGAGAAATCGGCACCCAGCTTCTCGTGTCTGAAAGAGCTGTACGACCTCCGCCAGTAAGAGCCCGCCCTTCTGTGGCATTGATGAGCAGGGGAGCATCTCACGGCTGTGACACATCCTGGACACCAATAGATTAAAAGTACCCTTTTATGAATGCTACTTGGCAATTAGACTACCAGTGGTTTGAGCAAAACCACTTAAACATACAACTGATAGAGTTTTTGGGTATTAGTAATTCTGCAAAAATTTATTTTTGAAAGCCTTGGGAATATTCATTTCAATGCTTTTCATGTGTTAGGTCTTAGTTTAAGTTAAGGTGCAGTATTTCTGATAGACTACAGGTTTTGGGGTTGTATTTCACATTAGAGTGGAAAAAATCGAGATATCAATAAAACAAATTTTTTCCTACAGAAATGCCTTTATACTTTAGAGTTAAGAGACTATTTAAGAACTACTTCTTGAACACCTATTATATGGCAGGTGCTATGCCAAACATGAGGAGTGGTGAGCAAAATAGACCCAGTTCCTGCCCTCATACTTTCAGTCTCAGGGAGAAGCTGATACAAATCATCACACAAATAAACACAGGTAAAAGTTACCTAGGACTCTGCACGGGAGAGCTACTGGCTTCTGCATTTGGTGGCTCTCAACCTTGACTGTTCATCAAGTCACTTTGGAGTTTTTCAAACAGAAATACCAATGAGTGCCTCAGGCCTAAATCAGGATCTCTAAGTGCTGGTAAAAAGCTGCCCAGGTGATTCTGATATGCAGCCAAGGTTGAGAACCACTGAGCCTTTCTAATTTCCTTGACATGTATCAGTCATATATCTGGGCTTTGAGAATGAGTGTTCTGTAGTACTTTTATTTTTTATTTTTTTTCTTTTTAAAGATTTTATTTATTTGTCAGCACAAGTAGGGGGAACAGCAGGCAAAGGGAGAAGCAGGCTCCCCGCTGATCAGGGAGCCCAGTGTGGGGCTCAATCCCAGGACCCCGGGATCATGACCTGAGCTGAAGGCAGATGCTTAATCAACTGAGCCACCCAGGCGCCCCTCTGTAGTACTTTTAATGGTTAAAAAAAAATAGTCACAAAAATTATGTTTTCTTGCGTGTATTTATTTGCTAGCTTTACAGTTTCATTCTAACCACTGCTCTAGTGTAGAATAGGCAAAAAATTGATCACTGTCACGGTTCCTCAAAAATAGTGAGTTAAAAAATCAGTGTCCCTCTTTTCATTCCCAGTTGACCTGTGTAACATATATACTTTTTTTTTTTTTTTGGTGATATGTTCTTTTCAACATTTTTCTTCTAGACACTTTGTGTATGATCATGTGTTTGCCGAGAAGATCACTTCCTTGCAAAGTCGGCAAAGCCCTGATGAGGAAGAAAATGAGCACTTGAAGAAAACAGTGACGGTGTTGCAGGCCCAGCTGAGCCTGGAGCGGCAGAAGCGGGTGACTCTGGAGGAGGAATATGGGCTTGTGCTCAAGGAGAACAGTGAGCTGGAGCAGCAGCTGGGAGCCACGGACGCCTACCGAGCGCGGGCGCTGGAATTGGAGGCTGAGGTGGCAGAGATGCGGCAGATGCTGCAGTTGGAGCACCCTTTTGTGAACGGCGTCGAGAAGCTGGTGGCAGACTCTCTGTTCATCCCTTTCAAAGAACACAGCCAGGGCCTGCTGGAGGAGATGTTCGTGCCGGTGCTGGAGGCACACCGAAAGCCTCTCAAGCGCAGCAGCAGTGAGACGGTGCTCAGCAGCTTGGCAGGGGGGGACATCGTGAGGGGCCACGAGGAGACCTGCATCCGGAGGGCCAAGACCGTGAAGCAGAGGGGCATCTCCCTTCTGCATGAAGTGGACACTCAGTACAGTGCCCTGAAGGTGAAGTATGAGGAGCTGCTGAGGAAGTGCCAGCAGGAAGAGGACTCCCTGTCCCACAAGGCGGTGCAGACCTCCAGGGCTCTAGCCAAAGACCTGGCCGGGACGAACGCCCAGCCTGAGGCCAGCACCAGCAGCTGGGAGCCAGCCTCTGTTTCGCCAGAGCCCATCAGTTCCCCCACCACCACGACACCTCCGGAATACAAAGCGCTCTTCAAGGAGATCTTTAGTTGCATCAGGAAAACTAAGCAGGAAATAGATGAACAGAGAACAAAATACCGATCTCTTTCCTCTCATTCCTAATTCAGCCTCCAGCTCTATTACTAACTTCTCTGTTTGCTTTCACCTCTCTCTCCCACTCTGACAAGTGTTTGTAAACCCCACAGCCTGATAGTGCTCATGACGTTTGCCTCGTTGTTTGGCTTACTTAGCAGCTGCGAACAACAGTGGGGAAAGAAGGTGGCTGCTGGTGTCAGTTCTATAATCCAGTTCCATTTAAGCTTCTCAGAAAATCCCACGACAGTCTGGCCTCTGGCTGGTGCGGTGATTAGGTTGTGATTCCTTGAAAAGCCCTAGAACCAGTGGATGGGTAGATCCATGCTCCTAAGGGAAGCACGCCTGGAGTTAACTATAGTACATAGTGCATGGTTTATAGGGGCAAAAGGGCAGAGTTGAAACAAAACTAAGGCAACTCCTACCGCCTCCTTGCTTCTCAAAACTGTAGAAGTCAGATGGCTGCCCAACTGAAGTAGCTTTCACAACCACTGTTGGATACGGTGAATTCATTAAGAAGAATGTCCAGGAGAAACAGGGGTCTAATCCAAAATAAATGGCATTAACAAATACTCCAAGCCTTGAGCTTTGTTACATCTGCTACCAGTTGAGCTGTGACTGACAAGTCATCATAATGCATCTAAATCCAGCTGATACCAAACTGAAAGGCAAGCTCTGGTTTGACCACAGTCAGCTTGTTCGCATAGGCCCTAGAGGGCCTCCACCCCCTCCTTCAGATGTTTGTACTCAAAGCTGTAGTGGTTAGCATAGGCAAGTATGTAAATCATTCTTAAAGTCAAACTAAAGACGCAAGATCAAACCCCTCACTCCTACTGTGTTGTCTGAGCTGAGCTGACAGCCACAAGCTGCCCTTACTCAGTTCCTTTGGTTCCTAGAAATGTTTTTGACTTGCTGCAGAAATTCCTGTCTGCTACTTTACTAAACAGTATTGTTCTGTGGGAATCTACTCATCTTCTCACTTGCATACTTTTAATTTAAAACTATTTAAAAGAACTGAAGATCCAGTTATTGTATATATTTTTTCTAAAAACCAAATAAAACTACCTATGAAAATGAACAAATGGATCACTTGCTTATTTTAAGCTGAAGCCCTTTTACTGTTATAACCAACTGTCCATTTTTTTTCTTCCAACAGATAGCTCTGAGATTTGATCATGATTTATTTCTATTTTTTCCCTTTCTTTGGGATTCTCATATTGTGTTCATTAGAATATATGATTGAAAAATACTTTCAAATGAATATACTTTATATATAAATGTTCACTATTTTAGAAATGTCAGACCTGGTTCTGAATTAGTAGCATTTGACTCAAAACATTTGATCATTCAATCATGGGAAAGACACTTTGCAGTATTTAAACATGAAAATGAGCACTAAATCTAAATTTTGCTTTCATTTTGAGAAACAATACAAAGAGTTTAAAGGATGTCACATTGTTTGACCTCCCAGCTCCTCCCCAGGATCAACTAGTTACTAGTTCCTTGTACATTCTTCCAAAATATTCTGTGCATACGTTAGTACATGAGTATGTTTCGATCAGCCTATATTCTTTTTTCCTTAAAGATTTTTATTTATTCATGAGAGAGAAGCAGAGGGAGAAGCAGGCTCCCGGCTGAGCAGGGAGCCCGATGCAGGACTCGATCCGAGGACCCTGGGATCATAACCCAAGCCGAAGGCAGACGACGCTTAATCATCTGAGCCACCCAGGTGCCCCGCCCCGATCAGCCTATATTCTTAAAAGCGTATACACCACCAGCTGCCGGCACTGTAGCTTCTGTTTTCACCAAACCGTGCATCTTTGAAACATTTGTCTGACCATCTACATTCTTTGATAGTACGATAGTATCACATCTGGATAGAAACTCCACATGTACATTTAACCAGTGGGTACATGGGCACAGTTGAGGAAAGAAGGTGGCTGCTGGTGCCCGCTCTATAACCCAGTTCTGTTTAAGCTCCTCAGGAAATCCCACGACAGACTGGCCTCTGGCTGGTGCACTGATGTCTGTGTGTGTGTGTGTGTGTGTGACATATATGCATATATATCATGTATATAGCCATATATAAGAATCCATTTGAGTAGTCCCTGTATCTCTGGACATTTATGAATCTAGAAGATAAATCATTAGAAGTGAAGTAAAAAGGAGCATTTTGCTATGACTGTCAATTTACTGATCCCCTAGCCCCCACCAATATAGGAGGATGTCCAGTGAAGTTTCTGACCCTTACCAAACTAATGGAAGAAAAGTGGGGTTTCCTTGTGGTTTAAATTTCATTAAGGTTGAATATTTTATAATCTGTTAAAAGGCCATGTGTATTATCTCTCACCTATTTTTCTTTTTTTAAAAGATTTTATTTGTCAGCACAAGCAGGGGTAGTGGCAGGCAGAGGGAGAGGGAGAAGCAGGCTCCCCACGGAGCAAGGACCCCGATGTGGGACTCGATCTCAGGACCCTGGGATCATGACCTAAGTCAGAGGCAGACCCTTAACCAACTGAGCCACCCAGGTGCCCCTGCCTATTTTTCTTATTTAAGAGCTCTAGCACTGAGGAAATTCATTTTGTAATTAGAAATTACAAATATTCTGTTTATCTTAATTTTACCTTATTGGCATTTTATCAAGCAAAATTTTTATGTGGTTATATTAATCTTTTAATACTTTTTTGTTTTTGACAGGTGTTCGATCCACCTGAACTTCATTTTTTTCTTTTTATTGTGGTAAATATACACTTACAACAATTACTATCTTAACCATTTTTAAGTGTATAATAAAGTGTTGCTAAATAAATTCACATTCTTGTGCAACTATCACTACCATTCATCCTCATGACTCTTCATTTTTAAACATGAAACTAGGCCCCTTCAACTCCCCATTTTCCCATTCTCCCCTTCCCCCGTCTGTGGCAACTACCATTATACTTTTCTGTCTTAATGATTCTGTCTACACTAAGTACCTCACAGAAGTGGAATCATGCAGAATTTGTCTTAATTCACTGAGTATAATAACTTGGAAGTTTCATCCGTGTTGTAGCATATTGAGTTTCCTTTTTAAGGCTGAATACTATTGTAGATGTATGTGCCACATTTTGTTTATCCACCCATCAGTGGACACTTGGGTTGTTTACATGTTTTACCTATTGTGACTAATGCTGGTATGAACATGTGTGTACAAGTATGTCTTTGAGGTCCTGCTTTCAATTCTTTTGAATATATACTCAAGTGGAATTGCTGGATCATATGGTAATTCTGTTTTTAATGTTTTGTTTTTTTAAGATTTTATTCATTTGTCAGCACACACAAGCAGGGAGAGTGGCAGGCTGAGCAAGGAGCCTGATGAGGGACTCGATTCCAGGACCCTGGGATCATGACCTGAGCTGAAGGCAGACGCTTAACGGACTGAGCCACCCAGTATTACTTTTGAGTAATATTGATATTTTAACAATATTAACTCTTCCAATCTACGAGCGTAAGATGTGTTTCCACTTATTTATGTCTTAATTTTCTTTAAACAATGTTTTATTTTCATTGTTTGAAATCTTTCACCTCTTTGTTTGAATTAATTACAAGGTATTTCAGGGTGCCTGGCTGGCTCATTTGTAGGAGTGTGACTCTAGATCTCGGGGTTGTGAGTTCAAGCCCATGTTGGGTGTAGAGCCTACTTAAATTAATAAACTTCAAAATAATTACTAAGTGTTTCATTCTGTTGATGCCATTTTAAATGGAATTTTTTTTTTTTAAGATTTTATTTGACAGAGAGAGACACAGTGAGAGAGGGAACACAAGCAGGGGGAGTGGGAGAGGGAGAAGCAGACTCCCCGCCGAGCAGGGAGCCCGAGGCAGGGCTTGATTCCAGGACCCTGGGATCATGACCTGAGCTGAAGGCAGACGCTTAACGACTGAGCCGCCCAGGCGCCCCTAAATGGAATTGCTTTTTAATTTCCTTTTAGGATTGTGCATTGTTAGTGTATAGAAATGCAACTATTTTTTGTGTGTTGACTTTGTATCCAGCTACTCTGCTGAGTTCATTTATTCTGACAGGTTTTTTTTTTGTGGAATCTATAGAGTTTTCTGCATATAAGATCATATCATCTGCAAGTAGAAAATTTTACTTCTTCCTTCCCAATCTGAGTGACTGCTATTTGTTTTCCTTGCCTAATTGCTTTGGCTAGAAATTTCAGTACTGTTAAATTAGAAGTGGTTAAAGCAGACATCTTTCCCTTGTTCCTGAACTTTGAGTAAATGCTTTCATTTTTTCAATACTGAGTTTGATGTTCACTGTGGATTTTTCATACATGGCTTTTATTATGTTGAAGTAATTATCTTACTAGTTCATTGAGTGGGTTTTTTTTTTTTTATTATGTTAGTCACCATACATCATTAGTTTTTGATGTAGTGTTCCATGATTCATTGTTTGTGTATAACACCCAGTGCTCCATGCAATACGTGCTCTCCTTAATACCCATCACTGGGCTAACCCATCCCCCCACCCAAGTGTTCTTTTTCTTTTTAACCATGAAAAGATGTAGTATTTTGCCATATGCTTTCTCTGCATCATTTGAGATGATCATGTGGTGGTTTTTCCTTCATTCTGTTGATATGGCATTATTGTGTTGATCAGTTTTTATTTTTTAATTTTTTTCATTTGTCAGAGAGTCAGAGCACAAGCAGGGGGAGTGGCAGGCAGAGGGAGAAGCAGGCTCCCCACTGAGCAAGGAGCCCGATGCGGGACTCAAATCCCAGGACCCTGGGATCATGACCCAAGCCAAAGGCAGACACCCAACTGACAGCCACCAAGGCATGCCTGTTGATCAATTTTTATATGTTGTACCATCCTTGCATTCCAGGAATAAACCCCACGTTGTCATGATGTGTAATCCTTTTAATGTGCTGCTGAATCCTATTTACTGGTATTTTGTTGAGGTTTTTTGCATTAGTGTTCATAACGGATATTGGTTTATAGTTTCCTTGTAGTGTCTTTGGCTTTAATATCAGGGTAATGCTGGCTTCATAGACTGAATTGGGAAGTGTTCCTACCTCAGTTTTGTTTTTTTGTTTTTGTTTTGTTGTTAAGATTGAGAAGGATTGGTAATAGTTCTTTTTTTTTTTTTTTTTAAGATTCTAATTATTTGACAGAGAGAGACACAGAGAGAGAGGGAACACAAGCAGGGGGAGTGGAAGAGGGAGAAGCAGGCTTCCCATGGAGCAGGGAGCCCAATGCGGGGCTCGATCCCAGGACTCTGGGATCAATGACCTGAGCCGAAGGCAGACGCTTAACGACTGAGCCACCCAGGCGCCCCGGATTGGTATTAGTTCTTTAAGTGTTTGCTCAAATCCACCAGTGAAGCCATCAGGTCTAGGGCTCTTTATTTGTTGGGAGATTTTTTTATTACAGGTCTATTCAGATTTTCTGTCTTTGTGATTTAGTCTTGGTAGGTTTTGTGTTTCCAGGAATTTGTCCCTTTGACCTAGGTTATCTAACTTGGCATACTGTTGTTCGTAGTTCACGCTCTCTCATGTGCTCTCTCTCATAGC